ATATAACATTTCATCTTATGTATAATATTTATTTTTGTGATTCTTTGGATTTTCTATTTTTATAAATTTTATTATTTGACTATAACATAATTTCATTTTTAGGTTGATTTTACTTTTTTCATTCCATTTTCATCATTTACAAAACTACTTCTTACATATCATACTTATTTTTTGTTTAGTATAATGAATATACAATATTAATGACATGCCCAATTCTTTTTATTTTTTGTATTATATATTTTAATTTTTTATTATTTAATTATGATATTATTTATTAACGGATTTGACCCCAAATGGTTTAATTGCTTACCCACCACCGAGAGGGAAGAAAATAGTTTTGTTTTCAAATTATTTTTCAAAATATTTATTTTTAAATTATTAAAATTAATGTTGTGGATTTAATTAATGCAATTTAGTGATGAGAAAAATATATCTTAAATATAGGATTTAATAAGAGAATATACCTTAGATATGAGATTTAATAAGAGATAGTAGGAAAATAGTTTTACTTCTAATTCGTTTTAAATTTTACATTTTATTTCCATCATTAATAAAAACATTTCTTATTTATCATCAATGTTTTCAACTTGTTAACTTGGTCGATTGAACCGTTCAAACCATCACTCGGCCGTGATTCTAGGTTTGGTTTCTGTTGAAACTCCCCATTTTGGTTAAAAGCTGTCTAACTTGGACGGTTCAACCATTGACCTGTTTGACCCAATAACCAAGGTTGTACACTTAATTATGTGCAAACTTTTGAAAGCCATAAATTTGCACTCCGATGTCCAATTAGGGTTATCTTTTTTTTTTTGAATAACTTTTCAAGATCTATATGTCCCAAGGGCATTATGCGCCTTGCCTTGCTATTTTTTCAAAAAAAAAAAAACTTATTTGGCCCTAAATTGTTGTTTTTAATATTTTTATAAATAAAAAATTTAAAATGGAATTAAAAAAAATAAATGTAACATAATACATATATTATATGTAATATATGTAAAACATAACTATGATATAAGTAAAACATAATTATAATATTTATTGATAAAATATATAATTTTATACACACATACATAGTGTTGGCGTAGAGTGGTTTGACTCGTTTGACCTTGATAGTCAAATTGGTGACTTGCAACCCGAAGGCAAAAGCGGATCGACCTCTGGGTCGGTTTTTAAAACATTATTTATCATACTCATTATTGTTTAATATGTTAAATATATGATGTTAAAAACATTCTCATTTTATTAGTTTTATATATTTTTGAATTTTATTATTTAATTGTGGCAACATGGATCGGCCCCTTTGACCCAAAGGTTTAATTTCCTACCGCCACCTAGATGCAAACACTATTTTTTCTGGGTAGATTTTAAAGGTATAGGTTTTTATGTTATTGAAATTATTAATTTATTATGTATGTATTTAATTATAGAATTTAATGACGAGGAGGAACAAAGAAGCCTTAAATATATGATTCAATGAAGGTGAATGCAAATTAATAGCTTAAATGTTGGATTTAATGAGAGATAATTGAATGCATTGAATATCTTAAAATAAATCTATTCAACTCATTTAATATCAATAACTAATTATCCTATTTGTCCTCATTTTTTATCAATAAATTTAAATATAGAAGGGTAAATTTTGTCATCACAAAATTCCAAAAATATTTTTGAGACTATTCGTACTTTTTAAAGTAATATAGATTTGTGCTAAGAAAGCATGACCCTCTTGGCACACAGGTCAGCCTAGTATGGCCCACATTACACCTCTACCTCTAGATAAAGATATTTCACTATACTAATAAAAACCTCTTAGCTTGTAAGCAGGACCACCATGTTTCTCATTCATTTGATAAAGCTATGTTTATATTTAAACTCCAAGCAATATATCATTTGATGGCAATCACGACTCTCCTTTATTACTAAAGCCCATCCATCTAACGAGAAAAGCTTGGCTGTTTTGAAAAAAACAGCCTAGGCTGTTTTGAAGTTCTTATACATGACTATTTCACCTAATTCTTTATTTATCTTTTTAACTAAAAGAATATTAATTATAATTAACCTCAATATTCTTTTGACCAAAAAGGAAAACTAGGGATCGAAAGGATCGATTTATCATATATTGAAAACACGTTCTCAACGGCCCAGATAAGCAAAGCTCCTTTTCCTTAATTCTTAGCTCAATAAAGTTATTCTATAAGACTCTATATCTGCTACCGCTGCTAGTAACAAAACAATGCTAGGCATATCTTATCCAACTTAATGAGATTTTTTTTTTCAAGTGCAACATCACTAAGGGACCGTTTGGTTTGCAGCTGAAATAGGAATCAGAATCTTTTGGAATTAGAATCTGGAATGATCTATTCCCATAATTTATTTGGTTCAGACAGGAATGAAAATAAGAATTAGAATCAGAAAGAATGAAATTTCATTTCCAAGGGAAAGGTAAAGAATGGTCATTCCCTCAAATGAGGGAATGCCATTCCAACAAAAATGAGAATAGGATTCCGATTCCACTCAACCAAATAGTTGTAATCAGAATAACCCATTATCTCTGATCAGAAATATCAATAGGGGTGACAATTATTGGACAAATATATTTAATCTCTTATAAGATAGAGCAATCTTCACAATCATATAAGCTGCTTTATTAGTAGTTCATAAGATATTGACTCTTTTTTTTTTGGGTAGTTCATAAAGATATTAACTCTAATTTGGATCAGAATCGGATACGGAATGATATCATCATCCATGCCTTATCCCGAGGTCGATTATTTGGCACATTGAATGGTATGATAAATTAAAGGGAAAATTCCTGATAGGTACCTTGTACTTTAGGTCAAGTGCTAATTTAGTACCCGAATTTTAAAATGCAACAATCTAGTATCCAAACTTTCGAAATGCAATCTAGTACCTGTTGCTAATGAGCCATTAAGTGTCATGGGAAAAGACACAAATGCCCTTCAAGTGTCATCTAATTTTCTTTATCAACTAACCTTCGATTAATAAAGCAACAACTGTGTAGCAAATGGCCTACAAGTTAAATGCATCTCAACACTCATTAGTATTCGAAGGGAAAACCATGGGAAGAGAACCTAGAGGAGCCGGTTTGACAACGACAGCCGGTGCAAYGACCTCAAGACTCAAAGAACGCATATACAACAACATACCATAGATGTAAACCGACAGAGCAAATAGCAGAAGATCACATTTCCGGTGAATTGCAGAAAGAACGATGTAGACAAGCTGCTCCGCAAAAATGTGCAGCTTTGGGTTGTGGTTGCCAAAGTTCGCATTCTTGCTCCGATTGTGGCGGAACCTTAGTGACAGTGGAGGCGGAACCTAGCAGAGCAACATACCGAGTCAACACATCCACGTAGAGCAACATAATCAAGACTACCTAGACCTCACTTCTATTGAACCCTCTAAAACTTACAGCCCCAACAATGCTCTTGAAATATTTGTAGTTGATGCCACCGAGAGTGGTCATGAAACCAACGTCACAAATAGGATGCCATATATCATGCTGCCCTTGATTTCCTTCATCAGCCCGTAGCACGTTACTAGGAAGCCCAAAGCACCGAGCCTGAATGTGGGGCTTTGCTTCTTTCCATTCTCGCACTCGCTGATAATAGGTTGAGTGTGATGTACACCTGTAGCAGTAGAAGTGTTTCGTATCGGGAGGGTTTTGGTTCTTGGAATCGGAGGAGCTGTAGCAAAAGCAAAAGGCAAGAGTACGGTGGCGGTGGCCATACTGGATGTGGACAGAAGACGTTGAGCTATAATTGCAAATTTAGGTTGAATATGGACCTAGGAAAGATGAATATCTGGTACTTCAGTTAGAACTGCTAGTTTTGTTTTGTGGTGATCTTTCAGGTGGGAGAATATTGTCAGTGAATCATAGCCGTTCGGTGAATTGTGTAAACTGCAAAAGGCCTAGTGTCCCACCATTACCTGCTACAGGTGTACATCACACTCCACCTATTATCAGCGCGCGATTGCAAAGTCGTGAGAGTCACCAAGGTGGAAGAACTCGGCCTGACGAGGCCAATGCCTTGTTGAGAGTATTGCAGGCCGAGGAATGCAATGAAAAGGGCAATTCCTGCCGTGCAGGCAAGTCGGACTGGCCGAGGGATGAGACACGCAAGCCTTGCGCACAAATCAAATGCAACCATCGCAAGAAAAACACAGCCCTCCACTAGCACTATTATCAGTCCGATTTGGTATGAGATGGAACCTGATCCATGAAACACCACTAAGTCGTATGCAAATTCACCCAAGTCTTCAAGAATGGAATAATCTCGGCACTGCTTCCCTATAACGATGAGCACATCCTTCATGTCTCGAGGAATGGTGTAATTGAAGAGCTTGGCTTAAGTTTTGTTCCATTTTCTTGAGAAAGAAGATGATGAATAGTGTTATTTTCAAGGGTAATTTTGACATTTTCAAAAGTCTTAAATTGCATATGAGGTCACATGATATACATAACTGATGATCCATTAACGGTAGGTACTAGATTGTCCTATCAAGAATTTTTCCTAAATTAAAATAAAATGATCAAATATTATCAAATGAATTAAAAATGACTGATATTTCATGAATTAAATGACTTGAAATTACTTATATGAATTATGACAATTTAATAAAATCGCAATTTCATTAATAAATAAAACATAAATTTTAAATTATGTGAACATATCTATTTAAATGAATCAATTGGATTATATCAAATGATTTTTTTTTTTGTATTTAATACCATATATCATTAATAACCTTCTCTTTTTTACATGTGCGCCTCACGTGGGGCACCTCACATCATGGAAACATCTATTGATGATGTTTTATCATCTTCCGTACTATCATCGGGAGATGTTTCCAATAGAGGATGTGCTGTGGGGCGCACATATGAAGTCGGTCCCGCCACTTCACCTGCCTCGTGCATCTACGTGTATATCCAAACAAAGAGTGGAAAAAATACGGAGGAAATGCCCAATTTCACAGCTTTAAATTGTGAAGGCGACCCTTCTGTTCTTATCCAGGCCACGATCCCCCGTCCTCGTTTTCAGTTCCCCACGATCGGAGACTAGAGTGACAATGTCGACGCTTGTAGTTCCTGAGTTGGTTCCCTCTGTCACTGAAGACTGCGAGCAACTCAGAAAAGCTTTCGCAGGTAACGAAGTTCAAGAACCTGCACTCTTTTTTCTTTGTCTCCCTCGATCGGGTATCGTTATAATCGTTCTCTCGCTTGATTTCGTTTTCCGCCTTTTAGATCGGTGGACCATTTCTTCTTTTTCATGCTCCGATCGCCGGAGTACTATTGTGGGCCTTAATTGTGCTTTTATTTTTATTTGATCTAACAAACCTGTTAGTTGGTTACCTCTGCTCGACCGATTTTGAAAGGATCTATGGTATTGTTCTGTTCGCTTTGTCAGAAGGAAAGAAAATCTCAGATCTCTGTTTTCTGCTTATATAAAGTGTTGGCAGGTTTTTGATAAGATGCTTGGACCACATTTGCTTATTGTTTTCAATTGACGATTTTATGTGTCTGATCTCTGGCTGACATGCTGCGATTTTTGTGCTTTCTTTTGGAAGCTTGTCTTCATCCCATTTCTAAGCTTAAGTTTATTGTAATTTGTACATCAGCATCATGTAATGTTAGGTTCTACATGCAACTGGATAGGCACCGACAATTCAAGCACGCTCAAGGACGGATTTGCCTGGAGATCCATGTTTGTGATACCTATCTACGTCACCTCGTTTAATTTCTTTTGTATCTGTTAATTATTGTATTTCTGGACAAGCTTAAGTTAATTTGGAAAGTAATTCTATATTCAGCTGTATAGTTCATGGTGGTTGTATTCACTCTACAACTCTGTAATGAAGCTACTGAATGATCGCGTTATATTCTTTATCTCTCATGGAGATTGAGATTGCAGAATTCTTGTCATAGTTTCTGATGTCTCTATGCATCTGGCATTCATTTTGAGAAAAATTATCGATTTTCAGTCTCTTCTCTTTCTGGTCCTGTTCTGTCTTTAGTCATTTGGAACATCTTGGTGATTCTAATTCGAACTTGAAACTCTTACAAAAAAAAAAAAGGAACTTGAAACAAACAAAAAAAAAAAACATGGCCAAGGTGTATTATTAAGCAAGCCATATTGTTAATCTTTTGCAGGATGGGGCACAAATGAGAGGTTGATCATAGACATACTGGCTCACAGAAATGCAGCACAACGCAAGTTAATCAGAAAAACTTATGCTGAAACTTATGGAGAGGACCTTCTCATATCTCTAGATAAAGAACTTTCAAGTGATTTTGAGGTTAGCCTGCTGTGGGTGCTCTTTTCTGACACTAGACTAGAATAGAGAAATTGTTCCGGTTTAGCAAAATACAACTGGTGTAAATTCTATGATGCCCTTAAATAAAGTGCCATAACTATTCCTGCCAATAAAGACAAACAATTGGGCATCATGAACTTGCCTGTTTCAGTTGGGTGTTGGCAGAATATGAAAAAGGTGAAAGAGTACTTGTAAACAGGGCCTAGGATAGATGGACTGTAACAGGGCGAGATGAGAAATGAAAAATTGATGTTAAAATAATGCATCTTTTAGTAACTATTACTTGTCTTCTTTAAATAGAAAGCAGTGCTGATGTGGACATTGGATCCTGCTGAACGTGATGCATTCTTCGCCAATGAAGCTACAAGGAGATGGACGTCAAACAACTGGGTTCTTCTGGAAATAGCTTGTACAAGGACTTCACAGGAACTATTCTTGGTTAGGCAAGCCTATCATGCTCGTTTTAAGAGATCCCTTGAGGAAGATGTTGCATATCATACAACTGGGGACTTCCGGAAGGTATGCCTTGAATCCCTTGTAAGCTTTTTTTTTTCTTTTGGTAAACACACCCCTGTAAACTTCATACTTATTCAAGCTTTCCAATTGTTCTAGTTATCGTTATGACTTTATTATTTTTTTTGGTATTTGACTTTATTATGTGTGTTGCATATTCCAATTTCTGAAAAGAAGAAAGTTCCTGTTGTATTATTTCCTTGAGTATTATTCTTATACACGAAGCTTAATTAAGGTCACCCAAGAATTTTCAAGTTGGAATTTACTTTCTCTTCTGTTTTCTTTTTTGGCAAGTACACATTTCAAGGTAGATATATACACATTCATCTCTATTGCACTCTTCTAGCGGTAATACATCCTAAGCATGTTTAAGAATTAAGCATTTAATTATTAGAAACTTATGGAGATTAAGGGTTTGTTGGTTTGCATCTGATATCTATAATAAATACTTTGGAGTTGGTGAACTTTTCTGGAATGTTGTTTTGAAATATGAACGTCGAATTCTGAAAAATGACAATTGACCATTTTAACCCTAGATATTATAAAGCTTGTTTGACTTTTAACAAACAAATTACTAATTAATTAAATGAATATAAAATAACTTATTAATTAATTAATAAAATAACAATTAATGATTAATTAATAATTAATAATAAATATTTTTATAATTAATTAAAATAATTAATTGTTAGTTAATTACATAATTATTTTTAATGAATTGAGCATTTAATAATTAATTAATTAAAATTATTAATTAATAAATAATAAAATATATAATTTAATAATACATAAATAATAAAATAAAATAATAATAAGTTTTAAATATTAAGGTAAAAGAAGAAATTGCTTAGGGGTATCTTTTGGGAAACAAAACATATAATCATTGCTATAGTACTAAAAAGTAAATGCTAAATTAATGCTGAACAAATAATTGGTAACAAGCGCTCTTAATACATCTATCCAAGTAAAAAAACGGAAATGACAATTTTAACCATAGAAAATTATTATTAAAAGGGACATTTTTGTCCCATTGGAAGAAATGGAATTTCCCTAGTCACCACATTAATCTGAAAAAAAAACATGAGATTTTTGGTCAATGGGAACCAAAATCCCATTGACCAACTTTCCCCACTCTCAAAATCCAAAAAAAGAATGCCCTCTAAGAGCTATAGAATAGGGCCTAATGTAAGGGGCGATTACTTGGTGAAATGATAAAATCTTGGGCTATCATCTGAAAGCAGCCATTTTGTGCAAAAAATAGTGTGAAAGGTGAGGAAGTATCCAGCCCACCCCTCCTAAGACCCAAGATAGCTGTGACCCACATTGGGTAGTGGTCTTTATGGAGATTATTTTTTTTTTTTGTTTTTTTGGTAAACAAGATTACTATAGATGAACACTTGGATTCTGATAGGAAACTTCCACCAGAAATAAATATATATATATATATATATATATATATATATATAAAAGCGTGGTAGTTGACATATTAACTGAAAGGGATTAGGACCACACGTGGGTATAATTGATTAGGTAAACTATTTTTACCAACCTTGGGTTTACCTATCAACATTCTCACTCGTTTGGGGTTAATTAAGTTGCTTATTCCACCGTTCTTGTATATTATATGGATAAAGATATCCTTATTTATACCTCTTGAAGGAACAGATTTTTTTTTCTTTTTTTTTTTATGTTATGACATTAATAAGGTGGGGATTAAAAGTCAAAATCAGGTTCAAGAAGTAAAATAAAACAAGGTAAAAGTTTGAGATGGAAACGCTGTATTTAGTGTTTACAAATATGAGTAATTTTAACAATTTAAAAATATGTATTTTGGTGGTAAAACTAATATTTTATTATTAAAGGTATTTTTCTCAATTTCATTTCTTTTGTGAACAAACCCCTTGTACTTTCATGATCAAGGGGGTGTAAGTTATTAGGTAAACTCAGGGGAGGTCTTAGTATATGAACAAAACCCTGGGGGTGGTACAAGTAGTTGATCTTATTTGATAAGAGTAAATTGGATTTATCTTTCTTCTATTTCCAAATTTTTTTATATTAATAACTTGCATTGCATTTCTTTTCTCCTAATCACTCGATTCTTAGTTTTCCTTTAATGTCGCTGCAAAGGTTCTCTACTGGCTGGTCATTTTTTTTAGTTTTATTCCTCCCCAGCTTTTGGTACCTCTTGTGAGCTCCTACCGTTATGAAGGACAAGAGGTGAACATGACACTTGCAAAATCAGAGGCTAAAGTACTCCATCAAAAGATTTCGGAGAAGGCTTACAACGATGAGGACCTTATCAGGATTCTGACAACAAGGAGCAAAATACAGCTTAATGCAACATTGAACCACTATAACGATGAATTCGGGAATCCCATCAACAAGGTATGCTCATTTCTGTTGTCTAGAGTTCAATCAACTGTAACAACGATATCCGGAAGGTTGAAGAAAACCGACTGGATGATTGCATTTCATATGGTCTGTAGTCTGTAGACCACCCTCTCCGACCATGAAAGAAGTACCATCTTTTCCGCTTTCCATCACAAAGAATGGAATGGTTAAATTGTACAAATACAATTATGTACATGCAAATACATACAAAATAATATAAAATATAAGGTTTTGTACTCTATAAATTTGTATTTGTATTCCTTCTAAACTGAGTTTATGTGGTGTAGCATATTATATATATCATGGTTTTTGAATTTCCGTTGACCTGGACGATCGGACTGTCCACACAACTGGTTACGTTTTACCCCAAACCCAGTTCCTGATAAAAAATTGTTGAATCAATCAATTACCCATTGATCTAGGCAGTCAAACCATCAATCCATCGACCTGTTCAATGGTTTTTTAGCTGTTTTTTTATTTTTAATTATTTTTTAATTTTTTGTCAAAATGAGCCATCTATTCTAATCGGATGGTCAAATCATTGACCCAAAAACCGATGGCCAGAATGGTTTTATTTCCGGATTATTTTTTAAAAACATGGTATATACTAAACCGGAATGAGCCAGGGAATGGTATGCGCAGAAAATTGAATTTTTGAGATCCACCCATATTGTCATTTTCTTTATTGCGAAATGGTGGAAACTACCTGCATAGAGTAAGGATTTAAAAAGAAAAGTAGAAAAACTTTTACAAAACTTATATAGGTTTCTCTTCCTTTCCCTGCTTTAAACATAGCCTTAAGGTTAATTGTCTTAGAAGTTAGAATCAGATATATATCATGCTATTTATAGTTATAGATGCTTTCCCTTTAATATAGTGTCAGTTTGACAGTTTGGTAGGGCTTTGTCGTGGCAGCTTTTGGCTTTGCCACCAAGACAGCTTATAAGCATTGTTAGGTGAAAAACCCGGAAAGTGCTAATTTGCCATCCTTCAGCCAAAAAACTGCTTTCCTTTGGAGTTTCTCGCAGCTCAACCAAAGGCTCAGCCCTCCCAAAAGGGCCCTTAGGTCTTGTGGGTTTTCAAAGAACCAGTTGCTAGTAACAGGACTTGGGGTTTCTGTTTACAGGATTTGAAAGCCGATCCCAAAGATCAGTTCCTAGCAGCATTGAGGGCCGCGGTGAAGTGCTTGACCTATCCTGAGAAGTACTTTGAGAAGGTTCTTCGATTGGCGATCAACGGATTGGGAACAGACGAATGGGCTCTTACTAGAGTGGTTACTACTCGGTCTGAGGTGGACATGAAGCAGATAAAGGAAGAGTACTATCGAAGGAACAGTGTCACTCTGGAGCGTGCTATAAGCGGCGACACCTCGGGGGATTACGAAGCAATGCTTCTAGCTCTGATAATAGGACATGGAGAATCTTGAGCTGAGTCTCATATGTATTCAGTGTGTTTCTTGATATCAGTTACGCAAGACCAGACCATATCTACCCGTACGTGTTTCTGCTTATCCGTTTGTTTCTGATCTCCGAGCCCCCCCTTTATGTTACTTAATGGTTTGTTGGGCATGGGCCAAAATTTAGTATCCTATGTGGTTCCACAGTTGCTTTTTCTATATGAATAGATTAACCCAAGGCTGGATTAATAGGGAATATACGTACGTATCGAAGTGGATTTACTTGTCGTTGGTTAAATGGTTCAAGGGGGGGATGTTTTGCATATGAATAGTGTTTCGTTTCTTGTGGAAGATGTTATGACGGAGCTCCCCTTTTTGATAGTGTTTGTTGGTCTTATGTTTGATAGAATTTGGGCTTCTGTAGTGTTTGCCCATTATCTATCTCGTAGTGCCAGTCATGATGTGTGGTACTATTCTCCGCTCGAGTGGTTACGGTCGTGTACTCGTCTCAGTGTTTGTGTGAACTTTGAGCGTAGCTCTGGTGTTTTACAATGAATTCGTATTAAAAAAAACAGAAAGAGTAACTTTTTGTTGCTGATTAAAATGAAAGGTCCGTTTGGCAAGTTTTTTTGAGCTTTGATAGTGAAAAGATGCATTGAGCTTTTAACATAAGATTTGGACAGTCTGATGACCGTTTAACAAACGTGCATATTTGTATGCGTTATTCTGTATTTTTTTGCACAAGATTAAAACACGAAAGATGTGAGAAGCTTCATTTGGAGCTTCTCGAAATCAACCCAAAATGGGTTTTTTACATCTTTTGGGCATCCTGTCTTTTGATGGTTAGATCTTTCGCGTGTCAAACAGAAATAGACTGATTTTTGGTCTTCCTAGCTTGTAAATAACCGAAAGACGGTACGGAAAGATGCGCCAAATGGGCCCAAAGTTAACCCAAGGCCGTGTTTGGTTTGATAGAAAATAACAAAGAAACTCAAAGTTGAAATAAAGTTCTTACAAAACTTGTAAAAACATTCCCTCATCTTTCTGTTTCTCTCTTATTTTTTATCAAACCAAATACATCCTAAAGGTGGCTACTAATGACCCTATCACCCCCTAAAAGCAAGGGCTAGCAAGGGCTGTTTTTAGGGGTGTAAACATATCATATTTGAATCGCAATATTTGAATTTGAATCTGATATCCAAATTTGATTTGATATCTGATGGATATTGAAAATTAATATTCAAATTCAAATTCAGTTAAATATTCAAATATTTGATTTAATTTGAATTCAACCAATTAATTATTTTAGGTAATTAATAAATATATCAAATAAATATGTTATTTATAGAAAGTATATAAATATATAAATTATTTATATAATTTAATTATTATATATATAAATTATATAAAATATTTAAATATTTTATATTATATATATAAATTAAATAATCGATCGAATTTGGATATTTATCGAATCGAATTAGGTCATATCCGAATTTGACCGATTAGATATTCAAATTATTCAAATTCGATTTGATTATGTCGAATCTCGAATTCAAAAATGGATTTTCAAATACCGTTGACACCCCACACCCCTAGTTGTTTTACTGGACGATTGGACCAAAAGTTGGGTTTGTCATTTGGCTTGCCCAGTACTTGGACTGCTACCCACAAAATCTCTCCACGCCTATACCCATGGAACACTATTGGGAACATCTCCCTATGAAAGAAAAGGGAAATATTCCTAATGCCCAATTGTCCTATGGGTAAAGATGTAGGAACAACTTGTGGGTAGCAGATCTGAGCCCTACTTAGACCACAGATTTTACTAAACCAGTGAGTGTAGGGTGTGAGCTAAGTTGTTTGTGACTCATACCCAAGGAGACCACATCTCTGCTCCACAACGTCCTGCCCCATAATGCCCCATAGCACCATCCCCACCGTGTATTGGGAACATCTCCCAATGATGGTACAAGAACTGATGATGTCATCATTAGGAGATGCTCTCAATACACAACGGGGATGTGCTGTGGGGCGGGACATTGTGGGGCAGAGATGTGGTCTCCTTGGGTAGTTAGCCCAAAAGCGTCCGCATGTTCACCTTATTCACTAGTCCTAGGCTTCCAGCTTTTAAAGATTGATGTGTGGCTGAAGCAAAGATCTGGTGAGTTTTTTTCTTTCATTTTTTTGGTAATAGTATTTATTTATTAGAAAAAAAACAAATATTTGTACCATGGTTTTTAAAAACGGACCGGTGACCGAACCGGTCAGGGGTCCGGTTATCGATTCGAACAGTCCGATCGTTCGACCAGAACGGCCGGCCCGTTCTGACAAAAAAAAAAATTGGAAAATGGTCAAAACCGCTGAACGGTTCAAACGGTTAACTAGCCGGTTCAGCGGTTTACTGACCAAAATCAACAGTTTTGAGGGAAAAAGTGGTTTTGGAGGAAAACGAAACCAATTCCTGATTTTTTTCTGGTCCAATCGTCCGGTCCGGTCCGGTTTTGAAAACAGTGATATGTACTACATATACTATATTATATAGCGATGTAGGCCACTTCATCAGCCCTCTCCTCCCATTTCTCCATCTCTCATTTCTCCTTAAAGCTCTCTCCTTTTACCCCTTCCTAGTTCTCTCATTCATCTCTCCTTCCTCCTTTTCCCCTTCTCACCCCTCTCATGTAGCCACGTCAGCGTTCCTTTAATTCCTCATCAACCCAGTTAGGAATGTAATTCATTGAGAAAAACTTACCAAACAACCTACGAAATACGAATAGGAAAAGGAAACTTGCAATATTGGCTCTCAACCACAGAATAAGCCATGTCATCTTTTTTGTCAGGAATTCAGAAACGTAATATGGAAGGGAACTTGCCAAATCTCATGTTCCTAATCACTTAGCCAACCCCTTCATAAAATTTCTCCTAAATTCTCTTCACCTAAAATTCCTCCTAAAACACCTCTTAATCTATCTTGCCCAATAAACCATCTAAAAACAAAAAAAAAAGTGGTTAAATTAATTTATGAAATATTCTTTTTATGTTTTCAATACTTACTGATATAATTGAATATTATTTAGTAAATACCAACACCTAAACTATAATTTTTCATAATTTTGGTAAACTTAATTACTAAAAATTACTTGCTAAAAATTAATGATTTTGATAATTTAATTTCAGAATATTTTGAAATCAATAATTACTAAAAATGAAAAATTAATTAAAATATTAATAAATACAAATTTAATAATAAAAATTATTAGTAAATTTTATTTCAATAAATATAAATTTGTTATTAGTAATTTTTAGCAATAATTAGTTATTGATATTTTCAGTAACAATTAATTGATATTATTAGATAATAATTAAATATTTTCAGCAATTTTTTAGTGGAAAATTAATTTTCAATAAATACAAATTAATTTTTTACATTTTCAATAATTTTGATATTTACTATAACTTTTGAGCAATAATTAGTGATTTTGGTAGTTTAATTATTAAAAATTACTGGTTTTGGTAATTTAATTTACTAAAAGTTAAATAAAAAACTTCCAATTATTCAAATAAATATTTGGAAAATTTTAATAATTACCATAATTATTGGATACTATATTTATAATTTCCATAGTTATTGGAACTATATTTATGGGTTTGGGGGATGACCCCAAATGGGTGGGGATCATACTCCGCATCCTTAATCTCAAGTTTTAAATTAATCCCTGTCTCTAACCTCGATTCCCGCTAGAAAAAAAAAATAGCTTGCATCCCTAGTCCCTGACAAAGATGAGTTCTCCATTGGGGACCTGAATCCTCAATTTTTTTAATTAAAAGTTTGTTTTCAAAAAGGTGTTCTATTAAAATGCAAATAATATTTTAATATATTTCAATATATATATAATATAAATAATATTATAAATAACATAAATAATATTATATATTTAATAAAATATATATGCACATATATTTAATATATATAATTGAGGTTGGGGCAGGGCATGGACTTCACTCCCCATCCCCAATCAAGTATTCCTAATAATCCCATCCTCACCTTGTCTCTGCTAAGGCAGTCTCCATCTCCATCCCTGCCTGGTCGAGGAGGCCAGGTACTCAGTAGGGATGGGGAAAATTGCCATCCTTACCCCCCGGGTCGTGTAGCTCCATAGAGCAATAATTTTAAGCCCTAACTTCTTTTTCCCATGCATCACATGGATTCCTTCTAGTATCATCATACGCAAACTAGCAAAAAGGATCGAACAAAAGCACTAAAAAAAAGCATATTCGTGACGTTAGACAAACGTCACCAAAGATGATGCAAACATCACGAAAATGTTGTCGTGACATTTGCTCCCTTGTCACCAAATGTGATGTCGGTAAAAGTTTTCATGATGTTTACCTAAATTATGGTGACATTTTGCAAACGTCACTAAAAGTTTTTGAGAGTCACCTATGCACATTTTTTGTGACATTTATTTGTTTATTTTTGTGACATTTTAGAAAACATCACGAAAAATACTTCAGTTATGGTGACATTTTGCAAATGTCACAAAAGTTTTCAAGCCTAAATGTAGATTTTGTGACATTTATTTGTTTATTTTGGTGACGTTTTTTATAACGTCACAAAAAGTCCTCTTTTGGTGACATTTGTTTAAACGTCATAAATAGTGCAAATAATTAAACTTCTTTTAGTGACGATTAATAATAAGCGTCATCAAAAATCTTGATGGCTTGAAATGTCATAACCCAATATAAATCTTATATTAACTTGCTTTCAAATCAATTATATTCATTCATTTTCAACAAAATTCTTATACCCATTCATGAAATCACAAGTGACCATTCAAAATAAAAGATAATATCATTAAAAACTGAAATCTAGTATTAAATAAAAGGTAATATATTTTTACAATTGTTCAGATTTTAGTTCAAATGGAATTAAAATATTACAAAAAAAGGAAAATAAAACACTCATCAAAAGAATGTCTTTCCCTTTTCCTTTCCCTTCTCCTCCCCTCTTGTAGGCATTTGAGATGACACTTTTCTAGGGCTCTTGCATCTGTTACAAGACACAAAGAAATATAATATTATTTTCATACTGAAAGATGTGAGCAAATGAAAAATAAATCAAACTTATGATAGCTTACCAGGTTTGGTGATGGTATTTCTGGAGTTGGATGAGAATTATCTCCACTATGAATTGGAGGGTTGCTGACTCACATCTCTGCACATAAAAGACAAAGTTATGAAAATGCATTATGATTTCCATGCTAAAAGATGCAAGTAAATAAGAAATAAAACCCAACTTGTAATAACTTACTAGGTTTGGTGATGTTACTTCAAGAATGGGATGGAAATTATTTCCACCCTGAACTGGAATATTTGCCAACCCATGGCTCTGCAGTCGTAAAAAATTATAAGTATTTTTCATAAACTAAAAAAGAATAAGAATGTTGAAGCTATCACGAAATTGTTTATTCCTAGGGCACCTGTAACAGCAAAACGAAAAGACTACCTATCATAATTCAAATGAGTTTCCAAAATCCCAAAATCCTGAAATC